TTCCATGACACAATAATTTTTAGAAGGTAGTTTCACTTGAAAATTTTTGACATAAACCGTGTCTGTGACAAACACGCAATGTGGCCACTGCTACGATATAGAACTTGGGGATTATCGCTTGTTATTTTAGATATTTTTTAACAGAACATGTAAAAATGTATATGTTTCATAACTGATCGCTTAATTTTTAATATAAATATATGTATTTTATACATACATTTTTGCCACTGGTAATCACATAAATAAAAATCATAAAAATGAAAATATAACAGCAATATTTCTTGTTTATAATGGATTAGATCCATCACAACCACACCACAACTTATTGGTCAGAGCGATTAAGCTGGTGTAATGTGCGCACCTCCATACATCTTCATGTACATATTTCAAGCGAGTCCTATCATTTAAATAGGCGGCCGATAAAGTCTGTGGTGTGCGGTGGCTCTTAGCTACATCTATTCCGTGTGTTGCAATATCCACGAAAGCAGCACTTAATTTTTTATGAAGAAAATTATTACAAAATATTCGAACGGTGCTTATGCATTTCCTATAGCTCAAACATTTTCACAAACTGAAAAAATTTAAATTCAAATATGTAAACAAAACACAGAATAGTTGTCACTTGACGCAAAAACACCCAGCCAGCAAGAAAACGTATATTTTACGAACATTATGTTTTACGAGGGATTCCCGATCGGCGAAAAGTTAGAGTAAGCCTCGTAAATGATAAAACAAAAAAAGTGAAAGAAAGAGGCTTGTAGTCAGCAAAAGAAAACATTGTCATTCTGTTGGAAAAGTTTCTTGAACCACAATATTTGATGATATATAATATTCGCATACCTAGGCGCTCGACAGTTTCAAGCGAAAAAGTACTCGAAAACGAATCGTAAACCGCTATCATAAACGATTTTTTAGCCGGTTTTTCTTCGAGAAAATATCCAGTTATGAGCTCGTTTATGATGATTTTGCTGGCTGGGCAATTTTATGATTCACGAATACTTAGGCTACGTTTCTTTATACATTCCGGATAATCTCATTTCACAACCAGAATAAACAGAATGTGTTTGAAATATACGTTAACATATCATCAGGAACGTTCTAAAGAATAAGTAAACAAAAAAGATTATTCCAAACGTTCAGAATGAATAAAGAAATTCAGCCTTAATGGCTGCGTTTCTTTATACATTCCGGATAATCCCATTTCACAGCCAGAATAAACAGAATGCGTTTGAAATATATGTTAACATATCATCAGGATTGTTCTAAAGAATAAGTAAATGCAAAAGGGTTTATTTCAAACATTCAGAATGAATAAAGAAATGCAGCCAATATGTATAATTTTAATGTGTTGCTTCTGGCAGCATTCGTCGAGCTCTATAAGTTCTCTTAGGGCCAGTTTAAGCTTGAACGCCCGATCTGCCTGGTTTAAACTAAGATCAGCCAATAAAATGACAGCCAGCTGTGCAATTTAAACTCAGTTTACTTAATCTAAGTTTAAACTGGCACTGAAAAACTGGTCCTTAGTACGCAGATGCTAAGCTTGAGAAACTCTTTTTATAACACCTTTAAATGAAAAATATTTAGACGTATTTACATGAAATCAAGAAGCTGACCTTACGAAAATGCTCTACACCAAATTTGATTACCCCATTCCATAACTGCCTACATTTATTTTGGTGTACGAATATTTCAATATCTCTGAAGTTATCACAAGTTAGCTCATTTATGATAAAATATATGTATTCTTCGGCTAATGCATCCAGTTGTAGTATGTATGTTGGCTGTCGTTAACAACTCGCGCTCATTACTCTTGCTTGGAACAATTGCGCCGGTGTAGCAGAAGTTCACTAAAATTTCACTATCGGCTCCTTCAAAGCCAATTTCCGCTTCCTTGTCTTTAGCAGTGTTGAAAAGCGCACGCCAATATGGATTTGCCGCATACGCTATGCGCGGAAATGCTGTGCAGAAGAAAGTGTTATCAAGAAATTATTCAGGTTTCCATTCATTTATTTTTATATTGATTCCTTTATTGAAAATGTGTGCGAGTTCTTTAATAAAGAAGGCGAAATTGGAAAGCGTACAAAAAGCAAATGTACGCAAAGCTAAATTTCAAAGTGTGCTTCTGAATAGATGTAATTCATGAACGAAAGACACAAGATCACGTAAAAACAAGAGAGTGAAAAAAGTCGATTTTTTTAGCGGGTTCTACGCCATCTTGTTTCACTGGAAAACGAGCGAAAAGTAAACAAAGCAAAGAAAACAACGAAAACCAAAATTAGCCAAAAGTATTGTCAGCCACTTTAAACGCACAATTTAGGTAAAATGATGCAACAAAATGCTTTAAAATGTGTTGTCATGTTGAATTAACTCTTCTTTACTTGAATAAAAGTGTAAAATAGTGGTGCTTGTGATGTAAACAAACGCTCAGCTGACGAACCCGCTTTCGCAAACTTGTTTCTCAAAACCAGTTACAAATACAACGTCGCGTTCTTACGTGATCTTGTATTTTTTTTTTTTTTTTTTGTGACTTTGGAATCCTTTCCTTCCGAAGGCGATGATGGCAGGGCTTGATTGCTACCCTTACAGTGCCAGATTATTCACGGGTGTGTTGTATTTTACAGAAATCGATGTGATTTCTATTGGTTGAGTTTGGAATTTCGTTGTCCTTCGCAGCTGTGGTAGGGTGGAGGTAGTCGTTGACAAGGAGAAATGTATAATTTTATGAGCATTCTTAATCGCTAACGATAGATTAGACAAAATGATATGAGATGTATTAGTACATTTGAGTGAATGTTTATGATTGTTGTACATTTTGATGTTGTTCATTGATTGACATGTATATATATGAGAGTAAATGATATTTACATTGATTACATAAAATTGTATTCTTTTATTTTATTTATTTATTTTTTTTTTTGGCACAGCCTATTTTAAGTCATGACTAGTACATTGTTATGTATTATGTGGGTACTTCTTAAAAATAGATCACATTGTTATGAATGCTAATTTTTAGTTTTCTGAAACCATCTAGTATGATTATTATTACATGGATGGGTGCTTTTGGCTACATATATATATGTATCTTAGCGATTTTTACAATGGTTAGACGCATTGTAATTTTAGTTCAGTCTTAGGATTGCAAATTTGTACTATACTTTTCAATTCTTTTTTTTTTTTTTTTTCCTATTTTTATTAATTAACAATTAATATTGTTTGAACGTCTCTGAACTCTCTACCTCATATTCTTTTTTTTTTTTTTTTGACTTTTAAAGCGCTTTGTCAAGTTTGGCTTTGTAAATAAACGAAATAAGTTCTTGAAAATGTTGTGGATTTTTTGTCGTAAGGACTTCGTCAATGTTATTAAATTTTTTAAAAATGTGAAAATCGTCTCTCAGTTGCCTGTATTTGGAGCATTCAAAGATTGCATGATTTGGTGTATCTATGATGTTACAACTATTACACATGTTTGAAATGTGGCTATGCATCAGGTGTAAAAAGGATTTATTGTACGTGTATCCAGTCATTAGTCTGTTGATGAGTTTGATATCGTAGGGTC